AAAATCAAAAAAAGTTATGGGGAATCTTCCTAGAAACATCTGAAATTAATTTCTAAAAAATGGTCATTGTGCAATATTCCTCACAATACGAATTATCTCCCTTTGACGGGTTACACTAATGACTGGACCAAAACGAAAATGCTAATAACTTTTTTTATTTCTTAAAAAATTTGTCAAATTTGAATTGCTATAAATTAAGTCCATTTAATACATAAATATAAGAAAAAATATGGAAAACTTTTAAATCTTCATAAAACGTGACCTGACCAACGCTGACAATGACAGGACCAAATGAAAATGTTCGTTACTTTTTTATTTCTTAAAGGATTTATGTTAAATTTGAAATATAATAAAATTTGATCATCTAATATATAACTATATGAAAAAATATACAAAAAAATATACAAAAATTCCGAAAAATTCGGAAAACGTGACCCTTCTAACGTTAACAATGACCTGACCAACAACAGCAATGACCTAACCGATGAAAATTTCTGTGTTATTTTATATCATTAAAAAAAGGGGGGAAAATATATGTTTTTGGGTAAAAAAAAATTGACCTACCAACGTTGACTGTGTCCTGATCGTTGTACTACCTAATACTTATTTATATCTTATAGGATTTGCTTAAAATTTATATAAAAAAAACATTAAGATTGAATGGTAAAGTCTTTATCAAATAATAAAAAAAAACTGGGAAAAACAGTTTAGGGTACTGTGACGGGCACCAGGTTATTTAAACTGTTTATGGTATTGAGTAGTATATTGTATTTTACTGTGTTGTAAATTATGTTGTATATTACCGGTTATAATTTAACACGTTTGATCACAAATATAAAGTAACACACAAAAGGTGTGAAGTAGGCCAAAAATACATGTAAGTTCATAAATCCAATATAATTGTTTTTTAATATTTTCATAACAGTAAATAATTATTTCCACGTACAACTTAAGGCATGCCCTAGACTTGTGTAGGATATCTTGGATGTTTTAAATATTTTCATAAAAAAATTAAACATTTCGCGGACTACTTGAGGTATGCCCGAGCCCCTGCATGCACGATATCTTGGTAGTTTAAAATATTTTAATAAAATATAAGTAAACATATTCAACGACTTAACTTGAGGTATGCCAAATGTTCTCGAAAGTCAATACATTTATCGTTTGCTAATATGTTTGAAAAGCATTTTATATTTTCTTATTTGATAAAATTAATGGTTCAATCTAAGTGTTTCTATAAATTTGATGCAAAACCTATTACATATAAATAGGTATAAAGTCATTTTTCCTGGTCATGATAACGGTCCGAATATAGGACAGAAAGTCACAGACAAAAAGACAAGGACAAAAAGTCACATGTATTATATGTTATAAACATTGAGTCCTGTTTCAAAGTAAAATCTAATTTTTTTTTTGTTAAAAGAAAGACAATATTCTAATTTTGAGAAACATCTTTCTGTAATGGGCTTTCAACATGTTCAGTGAAAATCAAATTATATGTAAATGTATATAATTCTTTTAAAGTTACCCTTTCACAGTAAAGAGTTATCATAATTTATCGTCAATATTTTTTAATTTGCTGCTAAAAATCCATAAAGATAATTGTTATTTTCTCAAATTTCAATAATCCAATGCCTAATACTAATGTTAAGATAGTGCTACCATAGGCGGACCCAGGGGCCCTGAGGGCCCGTCCCCTCCTTATTTATTGGAAATATTTGGTTGATTTCATATGGAATCACTGAAGCATAAATGTAGCGGGCCATCACTTGAGGCATTCAGTGGGTCCCCTTATATGAAAATTGTCCAGATGGTATACTTCCCCCCACTGCTCGTTTTAAGACCCGCAGCCACCATCTGACAGATTTTCCGCGGGTCCTCGTATGGAAACGAATCTTTTTGGAAAATCTCGAAAATTCCTCCCGGCCAGATAGGCAAACAAGAAATGTGTCGGATGGATAGCAGGGACCATCGGGTCAACGGCCGACAGTACCCGCCATTGTTGGTTACGCCCTTTGTTTGCTAAAGAACCCTTGTGTTAATTCTTTTTAGGGATACCCAAGTTGACCTATTGAAATTTCTGTCCTTGTCCAATTGATCCCGATTTCCAGTGATATTTCAAATTGTCCGCCTTCATCCCAGCCTACCGATATTGCCGGACCTTTTTGAAATTGTCTATTTTTTTCAACTTCACCTCAAAAATGATCTTCATGTAGATACTCATCATCCAATAATACAACATTATTCAAAACGTATAGCGTTACATGCTTTGCCATTTCAACATTGAGTTTAATAATGAATAAGAAAAATAAACAGCTCGTATTATATGTATTTTTCCTTTATAGAAAGAAAAGTTAGATTGTCAATTATCATTTACTTAGAGGACCAACGTCTGTCTCTTTTTGTTCTACATTATTATTGTATTTTAGTGTATCAAATTATTGCCTTTAAATAATTTTGGGTCAGTAAACTAGCACTGGACCAACAATGTTCCTATTAAATTTATTGATTTTGTTCTCTTCTGAAATATGCATGAGATATTTGACACTGGACACAAAGCAAACCATAACTAATCGATCATTTCATTTTTACAAAATCTTTGGCCTTTCTTGAACTTTCAATGTTCTGATTGTATCTTCTTAATCTTATGTATAAATAGTTAGCAGCTAGTAGCTAAAATTCCAAACTGTCAACACCAAGTGGCACTTTGATCTTTAATCTTCACTACAGCATTTGAATACTAGTTGATGGCCTGACTTGTAAAAGCCATCATTCTTTGACACTGCATTAAATTGAAAATTTACAGAAGAGAGTTTTTGTATGAGAGATTTAGTCTATTTTCAAGTGTTTTCCAAGTTTATGCATATACATGTAATTTGTTGTTTCTATGGCAACACTATCACTAATAATGCCTGGAATATTTTTGATCTTTCTCAAATACAAGAAAACCTGCTTATGTAAGCAAAACTGTATACATTCATTGTTATATGTATCGAAGTTCATTAAAACGCATTTGTAAAAAATAGTACTTATCCGTATTTTTGCAAATGAACTACTTGTTTCCATGACAACACATTCAATGGCAAATATTGTACATTTGAATATGTAATTTTTTAAATGATTTTATTTGTTTTTTTCTAGATTGAGTAATTGTTTTTTTTTTGTATATTTTTCATGATCATGAAAACAGACGCAAATTTCTTTATAATCAGCACTTTTATCCAGAATAGAGAAATTGTGTTTGTTTCCTTCAAGTGGTAACACCATTATCGAAATACTATACTAGCAAAATCATTTATATATACACATGTTTGTATACAGTGAAACTTAATAAGTGTTTTAGTTTTCCTACTTTTGTGCACATTTAAGAAACTAACTGAAACTTTTTCAAAATTGTTTTAAACTTGTGTATCAAAATGAAATTGTTTCCATAGCAATAGAGTTAAAACTATAATACCGTTATATATGAATATGTTGAAAATTTTGATGATTACAATAATTTCTACATATTGTATATTTATTTATTTTTTTCTGACTGCAGAATTATGTTTTAAAACATTTTTTTTTTTAATTTTCAAAAAAAAAACAAATTTCTGAAAAAATGAAAACTAAGCATTTTGTATCCATGGTAACAAAATATTGAGACATACTTCCCCATTACTTTTTCGCATCATTGATAAGATAAGACTATGATATTTATGAATTCATGGTTGACTTTAACTCAGGTGTCCGCAAACAATTATGGTGAGCATTCAAAAATGACCTTAAAAGGGTATTTTTTACCTAATGCAAACCACATAAAAAGGGGGGTATATGTGATTATGATTGAAATGAAATATCAAAATATCAGTTATTAAATTACATTAATAAAATGCATATATTTAATAAAATCATAAAACAATATTCATTCTCTTAATTATTTATCAGGAAAAATTATGCTGAAAATAGCCTTTTTCAGCTTAAAATCATAGATATTCAGAAGAGGTAAAACTGGTCGTCGGTTGCTATGGCAACCGATATGCTTAGCAACCAAAATTTTGCCATTTTTTGTTTGTTTCATCAAGACTAGTAAGTGTGTGAAGTTTGAAGAAATTCCATGACCATGCGTGCCACACTCCCTATATAAGAGTTTAAATTGTTACAGAGAACCAGTATTAAATGCTTATATCTGCAAACTTGTATTATTTCTTTAATCGTCCTTGTCTTGATTGTGTAGCATTATGAATGATATAAAAAAAGGCAGCTTTTAAGACCATAATTGCTTAGAATTTCCTTGCAGAAACATCCAAACAAGCTTACAAAAATAATAATATACGGATCTAATAGATTTAATACAAAACAATTGCCATTTTGAAAATAATTTCTTAATTTAAATGTTAAAATGTAAAAATATTTCCTACTAGGGCCAAAGGTGTGTCCTTGCTTGAAAATACTCCATATATTTGAAACTCATGAAGTGCATGTTAAAAAATAAAACCTTTTTTTATCTCCTGAACAACGCCGCACGTGAAAATTTACTTAGTAAGGCAAACCGTCCCTGCTGCATGCTGATTTTTGTTATTTATGCAATACTTTTTCGTAATAGCTTTTGACCCTTGTCTAATCTCTGCTTGGTGTCGATCAGAGATTAGGATCCAAGCCTTTTCACGAATACTCCAAAAAGACTCAGCACTGACAGAAAAACGTATTAATTTAAGATTGTAATGTATAGCAAATCAATTATGATTCTATGCGGAAAACACTTATTATTTTGTTTATAAGAATGAAAGTTGTCAAATACATTTCTTAAAACGCAGACCAATTTGATAAATAACGCTGGTTGGTTGAAATGGCAGTTTTTATTGCAATCTAGATCTACGCTAGTAGTTTTATTATATGTGGATTCAGATTGTTATGTCCTATCTAAGTATGTCTTGTTTTTTACTTTATGAATGATTATTTAAAGCTCTCCATTTTATCATGCTAGCCTACAAATTTATAACATGTATAACGATGCATACCTGATTTGTCAATACATTCTGTAATGTTTTCCTCAGACCTTTGCCTTTCTAACTCTTCTAACTTATCGACACCATTCCACAGTTTTTCTATTGTTTCATTAAATGAAGACAAAAGGTGATTAATCTCCGTGTTAGTGTTGTTCAAGGCTCGTTGATGCTCGTTAGTGTTTTCATGTAACACGTTGATTTCGCATGAAAATTGCCGCCTTTTGTTTTCAAGTTCATTTGTCAGATACTGATTTTCTCTTTTAAGTAATGAAATGTCGTTTTCGTTACTAAATACTCTTTTAACTAGTTCATGCATATCTTCTTTCAAAACATTAATGTCCGATTGTATGCATGTGATTCCCGTCTCCTTTTTGTCCGCCTCCACAGAACTGTGTGTACTAGGACCAAACACATTACCGTTGCAGATACATGACAGAAAAGGTAATATCACTATTACCTTAAATTCCATTTCAAAAACGTCTGCTTGTAAATAAGTATTCTAAATTTCAAAAACACGTAGAAAACAAAACTGCCTGGGTCAAAATGAACCGGAGATAAGATTATGACTATAAAGGAGAAAATATACCATACGATTGGCTAACAAGTTGCATGAATCTGAACACTCGACACCCTCTAATAATCAAATTAAAATTAAGTAGAAATTACTTAACAATTATTGAAGGACGTCTCTATTGTTAAAGATCATCCTTGAAACACTCGCACGTACTGAGAACACTTAAAATTATCATTAAAGTTATGGCGATGTTAAATAAAATAACAGTTAAAATGGGTTTGTTTCAACAAATACCTTTATAAAAGTAAAATATAGATTTCTGTTTACCATGGTTACACTACACCAAGTAGCAATGTGTAAGATGCTATAAATACGAACAATCCACCTTTTTTTTTTCTAATTTGTATAATGGATTATAATTAGCGCACAGTAAAACTCACCCTTCCAGAGCATCTGAGATCACCCTTTGTTTCTGTTGTGGTTAATCTTGCTCAGTCTTTAGTTTTCTATGTTGTGATTTGTATATTGCTATTGAAAAACAAAGGATATGTGGCAACCATCCATGACACAAAATCAGTATATGAACATCAAAAACACACAAAATCAAAGGAACAGCGCTTTTATTGCTATTCTTTATCTCAAAGTCACAGTGAGGCCTTCGACAATAAGCAAAACAACTTTCGTCTCACTGCGAGTTTAAGACGGCCCTTAGCACACGCATTTATTCCATTGAAAATGAGACAACAGATACAGTTAAGTCTGCCTCATAGCTTGACTTACATCTAAAAATTGACAATGAGAGTCTGTTGAAAACAAAACTTGACGACAAAAGAGATGATTTCATCTTCCCAGTTGTGAACTTTCCACTTCTATGTAGCAACATTCCAGCAGCACCTGCATGCGGAGTATATATCTCTAAGTTTGAGCTTTTGATTTTGTCATTTGATTAGGGACTTTCCTTTTTGAATTTTCCTCGGAGTTCAGTATTTTTGTGATTTTACTTCTTGATACACTATTCCAGGGTTTGTATTATCTATCACGATTTTCCTGATTTCTGCTCACAAGGAAGCTATTAAACCAAGAGTTCCAAGTGGTGAGTTTGAAATCATCACTTCGTAGATTTTACGGACGCCATCACCAGTTCGTTTATCGTTATGAAATAACTGTTTCACAGATGACGACAGATATGTTCCTAATGTCGTAAATACAATTCTGTCCACTTTTCCAGGAATGTGACCTACCGAATTAGACTTATCACCAGGTTTGTACTTACAATGTACATAAGCAACACGACAAGTGTCACATGTGGAGCAGGATCTGCTTACCATTCCGGAGCACCTGAGATCACCCCCATTTTTTTGGTGGCGTTCGTGTTGCTAATTCGTTGTTGTGTTTTTTGTACTATTGTTTGTCTGGTTTTTTTTTTTTCTTTTTAAGCCATGGCGTTGTCAGTATATTTTCGACTAATGAGTTTGAATATCCCTTTGGTATCTTTTGCCTTTCTTTTGAGCAGAATTATTTGCAAAATAATTCGGGTAGACTTTGTAATATGTAACAAAACCAAATCAGGCCCGGTCAAATAGAACATACTGGAAAGTAGTACAAATTTAAAACAAAATAGTTCCTTCGCATAGGTGTAAACATCAAACTATGTAGAATATATTTTGGTCACCTTTTGACTGATAATTTTGAAAAATACAAAAATGTATGAATCATTAAAAAGGAGGACATACATGTATTATGACCGTTTCTCAGATACCAGATTTGATATATCCAAAGTAATGGTCACCAGTACCGTCTGATGTGTAGATAACGGCAAATAGACCGCTCCATCCAATAAATGCTTGAAAATAGAAACAATTGACATATAAAATGATGGGGGCCTAAAATATAATGGTGTGCGTCCTACAAAATTTTAGTACAAAAACTTGTCTTAAAGTGAAAGAAGGATGTGGCACACATAAGAGAAGTAATTTCAAGAATAAATACACCATAACTTAAAAAAAATAAACAGAAAAGCATACACCTTAAGGGCATATGATACAGTTTTGATTTTTGACCTAGTGAATTCAAATATGTAGCAAAAAATATAACTTCATGTGATACTTTTAGAGATAAATGGGGTCGAAATTTAAGACATTTACTCAAAATTTCGGTTTCTCGGATATTCCTATCCATTGGATAGACATATGTAACTTTTTTGTTTCAAAAGATTAACACAAAAGAATTGTTGTAAAACATTTGGAATATCTTTTTACACAACTATGCTCTAAATTTGTGCAACAATTCTTAGAAAATAATTTATTTTCATTAATTTTTCATAATTTTAGACAAATATCAGCATGTTTTGTTGCATATTAATCTATTTGAAAAAAATTCCATCGGTGATATCTTTCATAAACATTGGTACAAATAATCTTCATACATAATCAAGACACGTGTTAATTTAAAAAATAGGGTTCAATGCACTTGTTTTCAAGCTTATCATTAGAAATGCATTTTCTTCCCGAATGTCACAGTTTGACGTCGCGAAAAAAAACATTTAACGTTAGCGATGTCAGTATCTCCCCTGTAACTGTATTGTGTGCCCTTCAGCAAGTGGAAACTTTCTATGGCCTCCACACAACACGAGAGACACACTCCGTTAATATAATAGAAAAACAAAGGTTATCGGGTATCCATCCATGACACAAATTCAGTACATACACAACATAAAACACACAACAAGCAAATTTAAAGGAACAGCGCTTTAATTGCTGTTGTTTGTCTTTTGATCGTAATTCGTTTTTTTGCCATGGAATCATGTGATTGATTATCCATTGGGTATCATTCGCCTTTCTTTTAAAAAAATACTTAAAACAATTATAATATATTAAAAGGTAAATTGCAAAGCAGCTGAATAATATACTATTACTACAAAAAACAAAATCAAGAATGCACACTTAGAATGTATTGGCTGCTCTAATTAATATTGAAAAGGGGAACAGATACCAAGAGGAAATCAAAACCAATTAGTTAAAGACAACAGAAAAAAGAGAACAACAGGAAAACCGACAAAAGGACAAACAAGAGTACACAAAAAGAAAACAGATAATTACGAAAATCGAAGACCACCAATAGATTATTGAGAAACTACATGTATCAAGAAAATATAAGGTTGACCAATGAAACATGAGATTAAGGTTAATGTAATAAAACACTTGTCAAAAGGACATGCACAGCTAACAATTATTCTACATCATTAATGAACTACTCTGTTATTGGACTTTATATTTAATAAAAAAAACTGCCAGTGCAATATGAGAAAGTCTACTCGGTCAATACAGAATTACCCTGCCAAAATTTTTTTTTTGTATTGGCCGCGTTCTGGTCCGGTCAATACAGGAATTTTGGAATGTTTTTGGTTTTTAGATCGGAAGTCATGATAAACACTAACATATGTGAACTTTCGTCTGGAAGACGCTGATTTATTTACACACCTTTAACATGCCAAAACGTTCAATGAGACAAACATTTCAGGCTGAAAAATTTAAAGAAGCCTTTTGTTAGCAGACGATTTATTTTTTTTCAGGTTTGAGCAACGAGTCTGTCGAATATCACCAAGCTCATTTCATTCCGACCTCATACCGATTTACTGTTTACTTTCGCTTCTGATGTTGTTGTAAGAAAACTATCATGTTTTTGTGAACCCGGACCAGACATATGAATCGCTGAACCTATTATTGTTCACTGTTGGTTTTCTATGGATAGTTGTCTAATTGGATATCATATGCAACTCTAATTTGGTTTCTGCATCTCTCGTGCATTGACAGTAACTTTCTAATTACTATTCTTGTGGTGCGTCTAAATATGAATTGTAACACTTTATAGTGATTGAAAGGGGTGAATAAATCATTAGTCTCAAGAAACGGAAAATGTAGACAACGTCTCTAAACGGCACCACATCAATACAACATTGAACCTTATAAAAGGCAACTCAGATTGGAATAATTTCAGTTCAAGGTACTTGTGAAAAGAAATAAATCACAAAAAAAACCCAGATAAACAGAGCATTTCAATAACAAATAGAGAATTACTCGGTCTCAGATCAATACAGCAAGCGTCGAACTGATAACAAGGCTAATACAGAAATAATCACGTGATTATATCATAGACAAAATGGTTAGAAACTTAACTTAGCCGTAAATCTTATGCTTCTCACTGAAAAGAGGCTAAGGGCTGACGGATATATATCTTACAATGAAACTCAAGATCAAATATGTAGTTTAAGCGTTAGGAAAGTGACAACTACAGCATATTGAATTATAAATATTATTTTAATATTTGTTCATATATGCCATTTAAACGAACGACGACGAAAAGACAAGCAACAGCACGCAAATTCAACATCTAAAACTAAAGACTGAGCAATACGAACCTCACCAAACCGTGGATAACATTGAGAGAGATTGAAGGGTATGGAAAAGTCATCAAAATACTATTCTGATGCTTTGGCATGACCTTTTTGTGTGCCCTTTTTGTTTGCATTAGACTAACCTATGGCGATAAGAACATAGCAGCTGAAAGGAAAATCAAATACAAATTGGAAAGTACCCCACATTTTAAAATTAAAAAAAAAAGATATACACCTTAAAGTATCTTGTCTTGGGTAGGGATAAATCCTACTTTGTAAAGAATCACTCTGATTCAAACAAAAAATTCTCTAAAACTGACATTATCAAGATGCTTGATTTCTTGATTGACAACATATTTGTTACGTTTGGAGGACGTGTTTTTCAACAGACTGTCGGAATTCCAATGGGAACCAATTGTGCCTCTCTTCTTGCCGACTTGTTTCTTTATTATTATGAGGCTGATTTCATACAGGAACTTCTTAGGAAGAAAGATAGGAAGTTAGCAATATCCTTTGACTTTACGTTCCGCTATATAGATGATGTTCTCTCACTAAATAACACAAAATTTAGTGACTATGTTGAACGAATCTATCCCATCGAACTAGAGATAAAGGATACTACAGATACAGT